CGGGCCTCTCACTGCTATGGCCTCTCCCGTTGCGGAGCGCAGGCTCAGCGGCCATGGCTCACGGGCCCAGCCGCTCTGCGGCATGTGGGATCTTCCCGGACCGGGGCACGAACCCGTTTCCCCTGCATCGGCAGGCAGACTCTCAACCACTGTGCCACCAGGGAAGCCTATATTGTCTTTTTTATTGAAAAAAATTTTTTTTTGCCAGGGTAGTGGTAACTCACCATAGATTAGTTTAAAACCTTTTTCCCTTTATGCTTCTATGTACTTTAATTGTTGCCTGCCCCAAATCATTAAGATATTCTCCTATGTTTTATTTCTCCTTTCACATTTAGACTATATTCCATATGGAACTGATTTTTCTGCCTTGTGTCTGGAAGGGGTCTAGATAATTTTTTTCTCTCATATGGATATCTGACTCTGCACTATTTATTGAAAACACCATCTTTTCACCCATTACAATGATGTCCCCTGGTCATAAATCAGATCATCTATATTTGTGGATTTGTGCCTAGGCTTTCTGTTACATTGGTCTATTTATCTATCCTTATGCCAACCAACTTTACAGCCATAATTATAACTATAGCTTTGTAACAGGTCTTAATATCTGTTGGTGAAATATTTTCAGTTTTGTTGTTGTTCGTTTACCTTGGATAGTCTTGTCCTTTGCATTTCTGTCGGTTGGTTGATTTCTCAACATCCTGCTGGGATTTTGATAACTGTGAAGTTAGATAACAAGCCAAACATTTATATCTTTTCAAATTTCTCTCAATATTATGATTTTCTTTCAAAACTTTATTTTTAGGTATTTGATATTTTACGCTAGGGTAAATTGTATCATTTTAACAACTTCTATTTCTTTGTTTCTGACATAAATACAGTTGGTCTCTGTATATTGACTTTGTATGCAGCGACCTTGCTAAATTATTCTGTTCATAAATTCCTTTGAATTTTCTATGCACAATAGCAGTTGTCCATAAATAGTGTTATTTCCTCCTTTCAAAACCTATGCTGTTATTTCAGGCCTCATTTCACTGGCTAGGATCTCAAATATAATGTTAAACAATAGTGGTTATTATTGCTATTAGACTTCAATGAACCAAACTTTTGGCTTTGTTGACTTTCTCTGTTGTATGCTATTTATTTCATTGACCTTACACCTTTTACTTTTCATTCTTCTTCTTTTTCTAGCTTCCTGAAAATAGTTTAGGTCATTGATTTTCAACCTTTTTTCTTTTCTAATATACACACTTAAGGCTATAAATGTCCCTACAAACACTGCTTTAGCTGAAACAAGTTTTGGTAGCTTTGTTACTGTTCACTTCAACATATTTAAAAAAATTTTTTTTGACCCAGATACTGTTTTCAAATGTATTACTTAATTTCCAACCCCAAGTTGGGGTTTCTTTAGCCATCTTTTTGTTACTGGTTTCTAGCTTAATTCCCATGTTAGGGAATACAGAATGAAGGCTTTTGATCTTTCACAATTTGTAGAGGTTTGTGTTAAGACTCAGCAAAGGGTCAACTTTGGTAGATGGTTCAACGTTTAAGAAACTGAATTATGCCTTTTTGATCAAGTGTTCAGCATACATAAATTAGTTGAAGTTTAGTAATGGTATTGTTCAGATCTTCTGTGTCCCGATTTTTTTTCTTTTTTCTTTTGGTCTGATTATTCTATCAGCTATTGCAGAAGCTGTGTAAAAGTTACTAACTATAATTCAGGATTTACTTATTTCCCCTCTCCTATCACTTTTGCTCTATATATTTTACATTTGTCCTAGGAACAAACACATTTAGGATTGTGTGGTTAGGGTGCATTAATTCCTTTACCACTTTAAAATGTCCTTTTTATCTCTAGAGATGCTTCTTGCCTTAAATCTCTGTGTGGGATAAAACTATAGTTACACTGTTTCCATTTGGTTGTTTTATGTGATCTTAGAGTTTTGTCTCTTGTAAGAAGTGTGTAGTGGGATATTGATTCAGCTGATAATTTTTCAACTTTAATTCAAGTAATGAATCACTTTACGTGTTTGGGTTTATATTCTGCAACTTAAAAATCTGACCTACCTGTTTTATGTTCCCTTTTCCATTCTTGCCTTCTTATATTTTATCCTCTATTAAAGTGTTAGATACACATTCTATTGTACTTTTAGTGCTCAAGATTATAACATGCCTCCTTGACTTTACAGTCTAATAACAGTATTAATTTTATCACTTACCAATTGCTAGAACCTGAGAGAACTAACTCCATTTACTCTCCCTGTGTCTTTTGTTATTATATGATGTATTTTAATTCTACAGATATTTTAAATCCCACAGTTTTAGTCATATTTACCTTTACACATCTACCATTTCCATTGCTTTTCATTTATTCCCTCACTTCTAGATTTCATCTGGGGTCATTTTGCATCCGCCTGAAGAATATCCTTTAACATTTCTTCCAGTGTATGCCTACTGGTGACAAATTCTTATTTTTCCTGGAAAGTCTTTATTTTGCCATATTTGCAGTGTATCTTGCCCTTGCCTCTTCTTTCTTATCTGGAATGTGAGCACTGCAGCTGCCATCTCTTCACGAGGACGGAAGCCACGCACTAAAGATGGTGGGTCATAAGGAAAGAACAGAAAAAGCCTGGAGCCCCACTGATCTTGTGGAGCTACTGTATTGGACACCTGGACAGCCAACATGTGAAAGAAAAGTAAACCCTAACAGTTTAAGCACCGTTCTTACTTTGGTTCTGTTACAAGACAAATATCATTCCTGATACAATGTCTTTGATCAATTCTGGAAGCTTCTTAGCCACTTATCTCTTCCAATGTAGCTGTTAAGATATCTGTAATTTACAGTTAAATAATCCAGCATTTGTGGCACGAGTTACTCATGTAAAGTTGTCACGTAGGTCCTGCTAGTATTCTGACCAAGAAAGTACAGTCCAGGATGATCAGCTCACACTCTAATTAGAGAAACCATAATCCAGAGGCAACTTCCCTAGGTACTGTTGTCTGTCTCTTGACCAACATATAATACTTTGCTAATTTACATACTAAAGTTCAGAAATTTTTATTGGTGAAATTAGTGGCCTGTTAACTAGAATGATGAACTGCAAAAATTGGCTCCTGATGGTTAAAGATTTTCAAGATTATGTGGATTGGCCAAAAGTAGAGTTGCACGCCCACCCTGCAAGAACAGGACAAAGAATCCAGCTTGGTCTGTAGCCCTCACCATTTGGGAAGATGTCCTAATATAATCCCCTGAAAGGTCCTCAGTGTCCGGCCATGAACACAGGTTTTGTTAAGGGTAACAGAATTCTGCTTCTTGAAGGGAACTTTCAGGCAAGGTGGTTAGAGCATCTCAAAGGGCAGAGAACTTCCTTAAGCCTGCAGAACAGGCAGTAAGATTTTTTTTTTTGCCTTACTTAATATCTGTATTGGTGACAGAAGTTGGTGAGAAACTGCCTTCATTATAACCTGGCTGTTAGGGGGCGATCTGGGGGCAGGAGTGTGTTTGGGGTGGGTGGGCATTCAGTGGGTACTATTATCTACCAAGGGTTGTACACGAATACATTGCCTTAGGTCAGTTCACAACTGCCTCACCCCCAGTTCTATTATTTCCTCCTGCTTAAAACTCCTAAAATATATATGTACACTGGATCTTACTTGTGTGAATCTTTCATTTTTTTCCATCTCTTTTATGCTGTATTCTAGCTTATTCCTGTCGTTTCAAAAATTATCAAGTGTCTGAAATAGTAAATTTCTTCCCAGTGACACTAGAAGAGAGGCCCCAAGAGGGCAGAAATTTGTTTCATTCATTGCTTTACCACCAGAACCTTACTGTGCCCTGCACATTAAGGAGGTGGTCACAATAATTTTTAAGCTAAGCCTGGATACTGTGAGAGCAAGACTGTAACTGACATTTCAGCTCTTTGTCACGGAAATCTTCCTTTCCCTCCACCTAGTCTTAGGTTCAGAAGCTGCTTTGCAGCCCCCAGGCTGCTGTGCAGAGCTCTGCGCCCCCCTTCCTGAGGCTGCAGTGCCTTCTAGGGTCTTGGCTTCCGGCAGAGGTCTCAGTCCCACCTTCCCTGAATTGTCAGGTCATGTCTCACTGTTAAAAGTCCCAGAGTTCACTGGTGAGGCTCTTAGCCAAGATGATAACCCTGCAGGTCAGAGCGGCTTTCAGTGCCTCCGTTTACTACTTTGGCTTTGTTTTCTCTTCACTTCTGGCAGTTGGTATTTCCTTTCTTTTCTTTTGCAGTCAGCTGCGTGTATATGTTATGTTTTATTTGGCATCTTTCTGAGTTTGGAGCTATGGGATGGTGGTGGTAGCAAGGTTTATGTTAATTCAGTCTGCCATGCCACCAAGATTCCTGGAAACAAACTATGTGAGAAGGTAAAACAATAAACCACCATTTTAAGCCACTGATTTGCAGTTTTCTATTACACAGCAGTAAAATTCAATCACTAATTGATGCACTTTGAAAAGCAGAACAAATGAAGAAAACATAAACTGAGAGTTGGAAGAAAATGTTTATTTCATAAAAAGGTATGAAGGTAGAAAACCAGTAAGAACAGGGAAAGGAGAACTTACAAGTGGGGGATTTTGAGTCAACTGGGAAGTGATTTGGACAAAACTTTCACAGGCAACAGAGCTTCATATACCATAACCACTACACTGAAAGGCATCTAATAACCAGCCAATTTTATCTGTATCAGTAGTAATAATTCTCTCTACACTTCCACCTTTTCTAAGGAAAATGTAATCAGTGAAGACCTAGTTGGCTTTAATGTTTTCAGTGTGTGTCTCGAGTTATCAAAAATTAACTGTAGGAGAGTAGGATGAAGTAGAGACCTGCATTTTTGTGTTGAGAAAATATTAACCTTTAACTGTGCAGCTTAATTCTTGGGTATGCCTTTGCTGTTTTTGTTTATTCCTCCCTACAACATTAGCATGATGGAAGTATAATTTCTTGGTCACCACTTAACATTTCAGTTCTGTTTTTCAACATGTAACCAAGCGTACAATTAATTTAAACACTTTTAACAGTAAACAATTGTGTACATGGTAAAATAAGTTGGCTTTTTTCAAACTTAAAGGGTATATATAGTATCAACTGAAACTAACTCCACTCAAGAAATAATTGAGTGTCTTCTATTAAGCAGGCATAGTGCTGGTACTGCATGAATATTACCTCCTATTAATCATTCTAAGAACTTTAGAAAAGACTTGTGAAACCAGAGCACTACCAGAGGACTAACTGTAACCCTTCACACCCTATGGTCTGTTTTTCTTGCTATTACAAGTAACATGAAGTACTCCCACTTTGTAGAGCCAGAGAGATAAAATCATTGATCACTGTCACATGGCTAGAAAGTAGCAGATGCTATAACATGAACCCAAGGCCTTGATTCCAAGATCAACTCTTTTATACTGCCATTATGATGCCTTTATACAATTCCTCAGTGGACAGTTTTCTCCACCTGGCAGTCATTTTCTTACTTTAACTTTTTATAAGGAAAACACTGTGAAGAAGCAAAGTAAAAAACTGATTTAATCCTTGGCAGTACAGTGGCAATTAAATAGCTGTTAAAAAAACAGTGTTTTGATAACATGCCCAGGATTTCTGAGAACATTTCTACTGGACACCTTTGCTCCAAGCTTATCTTCCATTGAGAGAGGGAGGGGACCGTATTTAAAAACAAGAATAGGGACTTACCTGGTGGCCCAGTGGTTAAGAGTCTGCGCTCCCAATGGAGGGGGCCCGGGTTCGATCCCTGGTCCGGGAACTAGATCCTGCATGCCGCAATTAAAAAAAAAAAAAAAAATTAATAATAAAAATAAAAGAAAAACAAGAATAAAATTTCCTTCTTTCAACAAAATTTATCATGTCAGACACTGAATTTATGAAGATAAACTTGTTTCTGTCTTCAAGGGGCTCATAATTTAAGAGGAGAAATACACATGTAAATAAATTAGTGATAATTTTAGTACCAGTGATAGTGCTAAACTAGAAGATAGTAAAAGACATATTTATGACACAAAGATAAGAACCCTCCCTCCCTTTTACCTGGAAGGTCCAAGATCCAGGTAATATTAAGACATTTCAACTGAGTTTTGAAGAGTGAGTTATTTCCTGAGGGCTTAGTATGTGCCAGATAGTGTGCCAGATAGTGTGCTAAGTGATTATCTGGATTATCTAATTAAATTATCACTGCAATTTAGGAGATAGGTAAATACAGATGAATCCAGGTGGTTTGACCTAGAACTCAATCTGCTAAATATTGCGAGCTACTGACATACGCAAACACACAATAAAACAGATCACTGGAGTCACAGAGATAAAGGGACTTATAAAACTGTAATGTTCTCATTTACATACAAGGAATATGAAGTGAGTATGCTTCAGGAATTAGCCAAAGGTCACATAATAAAGATAGAGATAATCTCTTATTCTCTCAAGGGCCTGTCCATTGTATGATCACGTTTCCCTGAAAATGTTATTCTCTTCCTGCTTTTCCCTTTAGCTCCTTCAAACTCTCCATCACCGAAAGCCACCTCAAACCACATGCCAACTTACCAAAGGGCGAGGTCATTAAATGAGTGCAGCGCAAGGACACACGGTTTGATAGCGTTAGCCTGTATTTAAAACAAAATATTTACTGTAAATGTCAGTGTTTTATAAGCAATGATCTGAAAAGACTGAGAAACAAGTAAAACAGGTTTGCCAGCTTTTACGAACACTGCTTCTTACATACTCAACCTATTACGTATGAAAATAAATACAAGGCATGAATTCAAATCCCAGATATCCTGAAAACTTCAGAAAAGACTTGTACTCTGGTCTACCCAGAGCTCTACCTACAACTGTACAGTACACATTCCTGTATGGCATGGCTACATCAAGTTTTCTAAGCACTTGGATTAGTTTTCCTAATGTCAGCCCTCGGAGCCTTCCCCCTGCCCTGTCTGAGCTGCCTGGGATCTGTTCAATCATTTTTTTAAACATAAGTAAACAGTACAAACTTTTCATTGTTTAGTTTGAAACGAAAACTTTAAATGCTTGTGTGGAAACAAAAAGCTGAAATAACTTCTTTAGGGTCATAATAAAACTCTATCATTCTTATTATATGTGCAGTTTTAAAAATATACTTTAAAGGTTCAAGGTGGACGACTATTAAGACTTCGGGAAAAAAAACAAAGACTGACTGGAATTCTAATGTAGATGTGACTCTGCTCGTGGCTAGTACGCATGAGCACAGTAAACCTGTTGTGGTTTAGGTTTAACATACAGATGGAGAGAATGGATATGCAACATTCTCGGTACTACTGCGTTTATTTCCCACCTTAAAGTGAAGACCCAATTATAAATTCTATTGATTCTACAATAATAACAATATGAAAATTGACAGGAGTCAAAGAATATCAGCAAACTTATTAATAAGAAAATGACAAAAGTGAGCATTTATTTGGTAGCACAGCATACACTGGTTCTGAAAGGTATGAAAATTAGAATCACACGCCTTTAAAAAATTATAGATGTTCCTTTCTAGATTGACTGTATATTTGAGGGTAGATCTCGCCCATGCATTTATTTCTTTAATCTCCACAAATGCCTGAGACCCACAGCCTGCATATATGAACCACTTATGGTACTCAGGACACTTGCTCTGAGGTCAGGGATCTCCATCACTTTAACTGCTCTGTGATTATAAGTAACTTAACTTTCCTGAGCCCCAGTTTCCTGAACTGTAAAGTATACTAATAACACTTACCCTAAACCTAAAGGGCTGCTGCAAGGGTTAGATGAGAACACTACAAAAGTAATAAGTACCTGTACCATAACAGGTGTTCCATATACACGGTGGTATTTATGAATACTCAGACAGTAATAATGACAGATGTATTAAAATGAGTGACAAACTCAGGGGACACCCAAGGTCTAAGGACTGTTAATGTGAAGATGAAGAACTGATAGAACAGACTTTCCTTTTTATATGAGTTTTATGGTTTAAAAAAACTGATCAGAATAAATGTCTTAAAAGAAATCTTTGGGTAACTAAAAATAAAATTTGAAATGATGAGGGCTCCTTAATTGCGGTTCCAGGGTTCCTTAGTTGTGGCTCGCCAGCTTCCTAGTTGTGGCACACGGGCTTCTTAGCTGCAGCATGCATGTGGGATCTAGTTCCCTGACCAGGGATCGAACCTGGGCCCCTGCATGGGGAGCACAGAGTCTTATCCACTGCACCACCAGGCAAGTCCCCAGCATAATGTATTTATAACACTGAGTGTGGAATGGGCCTTCCTAAGACAACAAAACCCAGAAGTTACCAAAAATTACATAATGATTTAAAATAAAGTTTTAAAAAACACATGACAGATTAGGAGGAAGTATCTGCAACACATTTAATAACTTAGAAAGAAAAAAAATCTAAAATACATACAGTTCCTAAAAAACAATAAGAACAAATTAACAAACCAAAAGAAATATGGGCAAAGGACATGAACATACAATCAAAAAAATAAAAATGAAAGAAAGAAAACCAATGAAAATGTGAAGATATTAGCTTCACTCTTAGACAAGGGAATGAAAATAAAAACAGATACTTCTTTGCAACCATCAGATCAGCAAAAATGAACAAGAATGGTAATGCTTTGGGGCAAGGATGTGAGGAAACAGGCACTCTCTTACATGGCTAGCGAAAGTATAAACTGGCACAGACTCCTTGGAGAATAATTTTGCAGTATCTGTAAGTATTTTAAATAGACATGTTCCTTGACACAGCAATTATACCTTTACAAATGGTTTTGTAGAAATAATCACACAAAATATGAATCAAAATATTCTGTATTTCGCAAGACTGCCTAAAACAGTGAAATACTGGAGCAACCTATGGTTCCACCAATAGGGAAAAGTACATTATGGTATATCTATATATGGAACTACAAAAAAAAATGTGATGCATAGATATGGAAAGTTCTCCAATGCATGAAAAAAAGTATAAGATATATATACAGTATGATTTCAAGGTATTATAAATCCCACCCATATCACCAAGGTATATGTGTGTAAAAACACAACAAGAGCTTGGAAGGATCACCACTGTTAATAATTCAGAGTGTAAGAAAAAGGCAGGCCGTGGTATGTGAATGTGAAGAGAATATTTTTATATACTCTTCACGTTTACTCTAAATATTACAGAATGAATGACCACACATTTAGAAAGTTATCTGAAGGGACTTCCCTGGTTGTCCAGTGGGTAAGACTCTGCGCTCCCAATGCAGGGGGCCCGAGTTCGATCCCTGGTCGGGGAACTAGATCCCACATGCGGGCCGCAACTAAGAGTCTGCACGTCACAACTAAGAAGTCCGCAGGCCACAACTAAGACCCGGTGTGGCCAAAATAAATAAATAATGAATTAATAAATAAATATTTTTTATAAAGGAGTTATTGTTAACTTAAAAAAAAAAAGTTATCTGAAAATTAAGGATTTGCCAGTACCCAGTTCCCAAACTCTATTTCTCATTCATATTCATACTTTTACTTGAAAATAACCCAGTATTCTGGTCAACATGGAATCTTTTTGTGCTACTGACTATATTACTACATAATTTTAAACAACAATTATTAAATATAAACAGGATACCCAAAACAAAAATTTTCAGAGATAACCTATATTATAAGGAAAATTTATGTCAAAATTAAGACAACTGTATACCTTTAGCGACCTTTTATACTTTTTCAATCAAAGAAGCCCTGCAAAAACCCTTATTTTCCCAGGGAATTTTAACCCCTATAAAACTTGCATGAAGAACAAGTAGCAAAGAAACTTTCTCAAACTACTTTTAAAAAACAAAACAAATAGCCCAAACCCTGTTTTTAAATATTTTTAGACAGTAGGACAAATACTAAACACATAGCTTAACAGTCTTTAAAGAATCACGTTGAAATAAGCAAGGAAAAGGTCAGAACTTTTAAGCCAGTTATAATTGTATCTGGTTAGTCCCAAGACAGACAGTTAAGTGACTGAACAGGTTCTACTGCTAAGACGTTGATTCCCGGAACAGTTTTGCACAGCCTCACAGGAATAATGTGTATTAAATTATACAAACACCCTTGGGATGTGTTCTTTTCCATAATATTAAAGGAAGTTAAGGCTAATGTTAATGGTAGAACTGCTTTTTTAAAAAACTGAAATGAACAGAACTAAAAGGTAAACTCATGTGTATCAGATTCCCCATTTTAACTGACATTTTTCGATTACTGAAGCCAAAGGACACATTTGTTTGGAACCATAAAATCCTACTATTGGGAACTGATGAAATGAAAAAGATATAATGAAACAGGAAGAAGTTAAATAATTTATGCCAAATGCATAACAAATAATTATGAGGAGAGATATCAAATCTTCAAACTTGACAGAAAATAGTTGGAGTTTAATTTTGGAACATATTTAAATATTATTGAAAAATCCAACTTTATATTATGTGCTCTATCAATCAATTAAATAAAAAATGACAATTGGAAAATAAGGGGGGAAAATGGGGGATATTTTAACATTTAACCAGATTCTGTAACATTTAAAAACTGATAAGCACATGTTCATCAGAAAAAAATTTCTTTTACATTTCTAATAAATGTATGGTTTTTAAAGAAATCAAGGCACGTATTTTCTAAAGGGTGGGAGACAGCTCAGTATAACAGAATAATTTACTGTATTAACTAAAAGAAGATAAAGTGAAAAAAAATTTTTCACTTAACTATAACTCAACTTTCATGTGGAGCTTTTTCTAAGTGATAACAGGTGAGGCAAAGCTGATAGCCCAAATGATCAAAGACCCCATAATATAATCAGCAAAGTATGGAATATAAAGATATAGATATAGGGCTATTAAACAAAAGAAAAAAGCAATATATTAAAAAACACTATAAATTAGGAATTTAACCTACAGGCCATTTGGGAGCCTAAACCACATGATATGCTAAATATTTTTTCATATTGGAGAATATGAAAGAAAAATTTTATATTTTGTTCACTGAGGTTCAAAGGTAAACTGATGGGGAACTCTTACACATGCTTAATCTGAAAAAATATATTTCATAAAACTACCCTTAGATTATATGATGCTTCCATAATGCACTGCAATATTTCTCCTGAAGTATTATAAATCAGAAAATAACCTAAGCACTTGACAAGTTTTAAATGAACATGTGGAACTCAGCGAAATATACATTTTACATCCAAGTACATAACAGAACAGCTCCCACTTAATAAAAAGAAAAATTTTAAACTTTAGTATATTGGACAAATAGAATACAATTAGAAAGACAGCACTCACCTATTCAAGAACAAGTCTCCCTGCCCTGACTTCACATTTTTTATTTAATTGTGAATTTTTCATAACACATAGACATCTTCCAGAGGAGAAGCAGCAAACATGAATTCTAATTCTGGATTTAGGCACAGGTAAGAGTTTATGGATACTTGCCAAGCTGCTAGAAAGAATAATATGTACTTCTTGAGTCATTTTGATTTTGTGGTTGTTCTTTGTGTTTTACCTGTACAGAATGTGGATGTGTCACCAAAAGAAGAAAAGTAGAGCTGATTTCATGGAGTTGAAAAACAAAGTTACAGAAA